TTCTTTTATGAAAAGTGCTTTACAATAGTAAGTAGTAACAATAATAGTTTAAAATAATAAAATATATTATTATTATTATTATTCAATGTTCTCCCCTGAGACATATAAACTACTTTTAACCTTATAATGAGTGGGATATTTTACCTTGTAATATGTTTTTGCATTGTTGAATAACAGCTGAAAGTCACTGGTGAGTTGTTCAACATCATCATACTCCTCCATCTTTAATTTCTGCTGTATCTTCATCATGTCAATAGGCTGAGACACCACGTGGTAATAGTCTGGTTGATTCCTGTAAGACAACGGGACTTTCAAAGTTTCTCATGTTTGGGTTACATTACTTGACTGATCACATTGAAGGATGTAATTATATGTACATATCCAATAACCACTCATCCCTTTCTTTACCTTCGTTTGGGGGCTCTGATGAACAGCTCACACAACATCCTGCCCTGGTCATCCTTGTAATCTCTGATCGTGTTGTACAGTTCATGACATACAGCAATCTGCAAGGCAGGGATTAAACACTGAAACACACCCACATCCTTTCCCGTGTCAACTACTTAATCTAAGTAGCTAGTATAATTCTGACAGTGAGTTAAAAGAACAACAGTCACTGAAATTTGTGAAAATAAATTACAGGATCCACAGTTGGAATGTTTGAGGTCCTTCTCCTCTTTCTCCCAATTGAAGAGACTAACGATGAAGTCTGGCTATCGTCAAAATCTCCTCCACTCACACTGCTAGAGGGGGATGTCGCCCTTCTCCTTTTCAAGGCCATGACGAACCCCTGAGGTAAAGAGCCATGGAGAAAGTCTTACATTAGAGCTGTAAACCACTGCATATCAGTTTTCCAAGCATTATCTAAACAGTGTAAACACAACAGAGTGAGAGAATAATCTCAGCCATTCCTAGATGGCTTTTTGTAACTGTAAAAGAAAAAGACTACAGGCCTTCTAACTACAACTAGCAGTACTTCTTTCTTCGATTCAATGTGTTTGCTCATCCGGGTACTTTGGCCTTGTGTCAAGCCCCCGCCCCCTCTTTAGGTGAAAGCAGTCCCTCTAATTTCACTCTTTTTATCCTCTCTGCAGATGACCCAATGCCCCATGCATCTCTTACTGACCTTCGTTCTTTGTGGAAGTAAAGAAAGTCGGAAACTGTTTTGTTTTGTTGTTGTTTGACGTGCAAAATGCGACGCAGAAGCTTTTAGACAAGGCACCACTAGGCACCTTTACAGTGCTTGTTTCACCCAAAAGGGGGCGTGGTCGTTCTGAAGAGAAGAAAGTGACTTATGGCTGCTCTCATCTATGCTTGCTAGAAGTCAGAAGCTCGGAGACATTATGTACAGATGTGCAATAACTCAATATTTAGCTCCACTGTCCCAGTGGGTTACAATAGGCTTGGTGTGGGGTCTTAAATATTGTGAAATATGATAGGCAGTTGCTGTCTTACCTAATGCTTCAAGAAGAAGGCAGTTCTGCTGACTGCCTCTCAAAATGGACAAACATGACAACACGACATTTGATTTCTCTTACCTACACAGAATCTGTAATATATATGGATATGGGCAGGTCCTGTGGTCATACAGATATTATTTTTTTAATAGGCCAAACACCAAAAGATAGCTTGAGGTTATAAAAACGTTCTTTTCCCCCTTCATGACTCAACTCAGACTACTGCTGTGAATGGGAAGCTGTGATTAGGAAATACGACTGAGAATCTTTTAATAACTAATAGGGTTTTTTTTCATAGCACACATTTTGATTTGTTGCCATAGGAAAAGCAGTTGAATGAGCCAGAAACCGGAGCAGCTAAACATAAGTCAGGCATCATTTACACCTGCGCTTTGTCATGCAAAAATGTCATCCTGGTGTTTCCGTCACTGGATTGTACAGCTTGAATTTAACATGTTGCTCTATTTAGAAACGGGGGAAAAGGCCACCTTTTCATACTTCTAAAGAAACATCACAACATTTGTCAGGATGGTGGCAGTTTTTAATTTTCAGTTAATATTTCACTTTATTGTAGGTCACAGAATAAACCATCATACATGCTCACATCATGTGCAATGGGAGCAGGGCCACAGGAATGAGAGACACCCACATATTATCACCCATAACGAGTGATGTGTCACCCCAAATGAACTTGGAAACCCTCACTAATAAATTCATCACCTCAAATGGCAACAGAAACAGGCAATTCAAGGGTGGGTGGTTTTTTTCCCCCTCCAACAAAAGCTCTGTTCTCCTGGTAGGATTTCTGCTCCTTATTTTGGGATTATAAAACCTGGAATGACATTTCTATCATCGGACACCAACGGTGTGCTGTCTGGAAGGTTTTCACTAGTTAACTAAACGCGTTAACCGCTCCCTCTAATGTCACCTAGCTGCGCACAGCCTGCAGTAAGCTAACACAGAGAGCAGCTGCAGCCGTCCTGTCCCGTTACCTGTCCCTCAGCGTGGACAGGTAACGGGACAGGTACAGACCACACCGCGGCTAACGTGAGCTAACTACAGTCAACGGTTAGCCGTCAACATCATCCAGTTCGAGCCGAGACAAAGGCATCGCCTGGCAACAACGACTGACGTTAAAAAAAAAAAAAGCCACCGTTAAAATCGACGACGCTCCGTGGAAAATATTTTCTGTTTCTGTTTCAGTCCACTTGATATATTAGTTGACTGTGTGCTTACCTTCTGTGAGCACGTTACTTGACCCACGCAATCTTAACCATGAAGAAAATCGATCACTTATCGATTTTAGACAGGGGGAGAGAAGTGTGGAGCTCGCGACAATTCAACTGCCACTTCCGGTCGCTCGACTTCAGAATAAAAGCGTACACGGTTTAGATGTGAATAGTTATAAGTGCGTTTTGCTGTAAAGTTAATTGTAGTGATTCATTCGCCTCTTCTCACTTTAATTTGTGAATTGTTTGATACGCAGGTTGGCTATTTTGGTGATTACTTTAGTATTTAGAAACCATGACACAATTAAAAAAACACAAAACGTTTAAGCTGCGACGTCGCTGACAGAGTTTCCGGTTAGTTCAATTTAATTTTACACATCAACCATTAAACCTATTTTTCTGCTCTGTAAACGTGAAACTACACCATCAGCTGCCTCAATTTACATGACCCCCTGTACATGTTAAATATTACAGGTTATTGTGTACATTAATGCCAGAATGATTGATATGTGAACTGAAGTTGTATTCAAGTCACATTTCTAAAGCCATCATAAAGACAATAAAAGACTTCTCTGTCAGATTACACCTATTCTTAATGAAGTAAAACTACCATATAGGTGCACATCATGTTAACAGTAACAGTAAGTACTAACAGTGAGCTATGACTTGATTTTATCATTCGTTTGCCACATTCAGATCACTTTACATAACTTGGTAATGTGGTGGCTGATGTTAGATTTTCTTCTTAATCACAATCAACTGCAGTTCTTGTAAATCCTGAGATAACTTTTGTTATGACTTGGTGCTATACAAATAAAATTGAATTGAATTGAATTGAATTATTGGAAAAATCACTCTTTTGTTGACATGTGGAGGTGATGAGAATGGGTCACAAGTAGACATCTAAATCGAAATTCTCTTTCAATTTGTATAACAGGAAGAAGCATATAAGCTGAAAGGACACGTTGATGTGTCATTGGGTAACATACATATGGTTAAATTATAATTTGTATTTAGAGAGGTGTTTGAAACAGGGTTGATGCTGTCCGATGTTCCTGTTGTTATTAGATTTGATGTACTGATGTAAAGCTGTGAAAAGAGCAGCCGGATCAGGCTGAGGAAAACAAGTTACTGGAAAATACATTTTGTTTCAGTAGAAAAAAAATGTTTTTGAGGACATGGGCTTCATTTCCCGTTGAAGACCATCTTTACAGTACAGTCCATGGTGAAGACCAGTGAGCGGCACTACTTTGACATTATAGACATATTAAATCATAGAGAGAATTAATGAGACCACAACTTAAGATCACTGACTACAAACACATTTCTAAATTATCAATCAAGGACAGAGAGTCTTATTTTTCTTACAAGGGTGGAAGAGATTTCATGTTGACCGGGCCCATGTAAGCTATGTGGAAGTTAATAGAGTAAAAAGTGCATGGAGGTTTGTATGCATGAGGGTTTGCTGTCTGCCATAATGAAAAGGAAGAAAACAAACAACGCATGAACAAATCCAAATGATGTTATGGGGGTTTAAGTGGTAGATGGTTTGATTCTGGTGTCTAACAGGGTTTACTTGTATTTATTTTTTGTATTCATTTCATTTAAAATGTTTTTATCCTGTGTCGTGCTTCACTTTTATGCACAACACCTTGTTTATCTTACAATACATTTAAAAAAACATTTAGTTTGGATCTTATTGAGCTATTTCTTGCTCGGTCTGGTTCATTTAACCGACAAAGTGCATCTAATCTGTGGGTTTTTGTGTGTGTTTTCTGTGTTTTTTCTTATTGTATTTACTTTTTTGTAGACAATGAAATCACTCAAATCAAATCAATCAATAAAAGAACATCATTGAATGAACCCGGGAGATGGCAGTAATGCGCCATTAACCCTCATCCCTCCACATTGACGAAGAAGAAAAGACCCGGATCAGGAAGCATATATTCATCGGCCCCATGTGTTGCGGTTCACTCCTTCATTCAATCTTGAAACGACAACTTCAGCTACGTCCTTCCCCACAGAACACGGACATCAATACGTGCTTTAGTATACGATAAATAATCTCTCCCAAAACGGTGGTGCCTGTGCAAGCAAACAGCAAACAGCAACGCTAGCTATCTGAATGAAGAGTGCAGTGGAGTGCAGCATGTTAAAGGAAAACCGGTGGAACATCCCTCCCAATGCCCCAGCATGCATGGAGAAGCATCTGTGCGCGGTGCAGTACAGACCAGGTGGGTAACTAACAATGCGAGCTGGCTGAGGGTCACACAGGTAAACACGTGGTGCAGATAGCAGCTTATTATTAGTCTGTTTACTGTACTGATGTGCAGGGGTCCTCTGGTAATGTGGCGCAATTACAGTCCGCCAAAGTGTTAAAAGTCCCCCTGCAGTCAAAATTGTCTTGTTGTTTCTTCTTGTTTCTACATTTGGATGCTTGAGCTTCACTGTGCAGGATGATGTATGTGCAGAGTTTGACACTATAGGGATGTTTGGACATTGATCTGCTGAAAGTATGCTCAATAAAAATCAGATTTTTAAAGGGCGGGGCCTACGAGCATGAACTGTGGCATTACAAATGGTTTGGAAGTCAACTCTGGTCCAATTTGCAACTTTAAAGTGTGATGTTGATGAACATCATCTTGAAGAATGGACTTTACTGTGAAGTAGGAGACATCTTCTGTGCTGCCTGAAAAACTTTTGAAATGAAACAAACATTTAGCATACTCATGGTTTCTGGATTTGAACGTGGAAAGGAAAAACATATCAGACACACACTAATGTTTCCTGCAGACTATTTGCATATATGTCTCAACATATGCCTGGAGGGGATCTCTAAAGAAATTATCTTTTAGTTTTTTGAGAACTGTGCACGTGTTGTTGCAGATGGCTAGACGATAAGCAAATCTGTCCAATCTGTCACTACTACTCTGTGGGTTTGTTGCTAGTTGAATTGAAGAGTGGTTCTTAATATTTCAGTGTAATTATCTATCAAGGGAAAATGTTCTGAATGTTTTTTTCTCTTGTTGGCTCTCGTCACAGATGGCACCTTGCTGCTGGGTGCCTCCAGCCTCAGTGGCAGGAGCTGGCAGGGATCTGTGTGGATCTACAGTGACCCTGTGAAGGCCCCCAATGAGGAGCTCTGCAAAGCTGGTGTGCAGACTGAGGCTGGAGTCACAGATGTCAAATGGGTGTCAGAAAAGGGTGTTGTTGTTGCATCGGACTCAGGTAAGAAGCCGATTCATAGCATTTATGATTCAGGTGCTGGTCTTTAGCCTTGAATTCTAAACTGGACTTTGTTTGACTGGCAGGTGCCTTGGAGCTCTGGGAACTGTCCGAGGATGAACGCCTGCTGGTGAATCGTTTCACCAAACATGACCACGACCACATCGTCACCACAGTGAGCCCGGTTACTGGAGCCAGCAGTGCTGTCACTGGCAGCATGGACTGTCGGTTAGACCCTATTTTATAACTATGCATACACAGCTGGCTGAGGTGTCACTGCTGAACAGAAGCATGTCGATGGTTTATGTTTTAAACTTTGGCTTTATGATAACTTTCTCTCCTTTTTCATTGGAATTAATCTTTTTAACTTTTTTCACTACAGAATTAAAGTTTGGGATCTCAGTCAGGAGTCAGTTGTCACTACCTACAATGGTAAGGGAAGCTGCTCTGTCTGAATATTTACATATAAATGGATCAAATTTAGTTAAAGCTAAAACATTTTATTGATTTTATATATGTCACAAAGTCTGATCTAAATATGTCTACTAAAGATAAGTAGAAAGCTCTTTGTAAATAACAGTTCCTTTGAGTATCCTAAAAAGCTTTAAATAGTTTAAATAACATTTGCTTTGGTTTAGTTCAGCCAAGTGAATCTCTTTTGGTGCAGAACTAGGAACCTTTCAAATATTTTGCTAAAACTGTGACATAATATTTTCATCTTCTCATTAACTACTCTTCTTACTTAAATTAAGACAGTTTGGACACATTTGTCCCACAGTTGCCAGTTATCTGCATTTTAATGGAAATTAAAAAGATTTGCTGTTAAAATTTGAATCAACTAATTTTTTAGTGATTTGCAAAATATGATTGCATAACTAATGCTCTTATTGGAAGAATTTGTTTGTTTTAAACATCAGGGATAATTAAAAAAAACAATAATAATAATTCATAAAGATGTAAAAACCGTAACTGAATATGTCTCTTCACTTGTTTCTTCCTCCAGTACACACACAGCCAGTTAGTTGTGTTGCCTGCAGTCCTACAGACGAGTCTCTCTTCATCTCCTGTGGTCAAGTAAGATACTGACACAATACCTAACAGACAATAACTGATGGACACTGATGGAGCTAGGTTGTGGAGAACTGCATAAATGTCCATATTGAAAAGGATAAACTGATTTTATGAAAGCTACAATAAATAGAGAACTGTAAGACTACACTAGTCTTCCTTCAAACTCAACCTGATGTTATCCTCCATCCTTCAGGATGGCCGTGTGCTGATGTGGGACAAGAGGAAGCCAAACAAACCCGCCTCTAGAATAGGTGAGTAACATATCACAGCTTGAACAACCAGGCTCAGACCTTTTTTGTCAGGTTCTTACTGGAATTAATCTTGCTACAGAGGAAATTAGTATCACGGATCGATAAGTGTCTAACCGGCCACCCACTGGTTGTCTGTTTTTTTTTTAACAAGCCTTGATCTTGTGACTGTTAATGATTTCTGTCTTTGTTTTTGTCTCTCAGATACAGAGTCCCCTAGCTGCTCCCCTACAACTGTAGCTTGGCACCCCCACCACAGAAGCACCATAGCTTTTGGTAAGGCCCCGCAGCAGATTGTTGCATTGCATTAAATTGCCACTCCCGTTGTATTCAGTGTGTTTTATAATGCTAATTGTGCCTCAGGTGACGAGCTGGGCAGAGTGACTGTGAAAGATTTCCTGGGAACGGAGCCGTCCCGTGTGCAGAATGTCCACAGCCGCAGAGTTAATGGGCTCGCCTTCTCTACACACAGGTAAACATAAATCCTATTAACATTAGCTCTTACACTGGTCCTCTAGAAAATGTTAACTCCTTTTTTTTTTATTTCCATCCCAGTGCCTCCATGCTAGCCTCCATAAGTGATGATTGCTCCCTCGCTGTTTTGAACTCTGAACTGCAAGAAATGTGAGTCTTTGCACGTCTTACTAAAACACCTGGTTAATCTTCTGTACCATTTTAAAAAAAAAAAATAAATAAATAATAAAAATACTTGTCATATATTCTTCTTCTGTAGACTCAGAGATCGGCAACACCAGGACTTTGTCAAAGGTGTGTCCTGGCTCCACGGTGGCTCTAACACTCTAACAACCATAGGCTGGGATCACCTTGTGCTTCACCACACCGTGGATCCGGCTGCAGGAGCTCCCAACTCCTCCTCTTAGATCCGACGATGCTCGCACACCTTGGAAGAGCACAGTTTAAAATACTTTCCCCCTTATTTTTGAGGGGTGTCCGTGCGTATCTTAAAAATTAAATACAATATGTCAGTCAGGAAATATGGATTTAATTGTTTCATTGTCATGTAGTACCCCAGATGTGTTCACAATATTTGAACTTCTGCTCTCCCAGTCCTGGGCTTGGTGCGTTGCTATATTACTCTACAATGGTCTCTCTATCCACTTCTTTCATACTGTATAGCATTCCCATGTATAACTACACCTGAGGCAACCCATTTGTATTGCATAATTTTACATTAAAGGTAACTTAATGTTGTGATAGCAAGAACTTTTTGACATTTCTTTGTGTTTCCTGGAATCTTGTATGCTAATAGCTATAGTTTGAAAGTACAGGGGATGAGACGAATTGCACATTGTGGTTATATGGGCGTTATTGCTAAGGCCATATAATATATACTGATAAAACCATGTGACCGAGGCAGACCCTGTTTACCCACTGCTGGGTCAAAAGAGGGTAGTGTGTTTACGTGTGACAAGTGTGGGTGGTCAGCTCAGAAGTTAACAAGATTACAAGTGTGATTTGCACAGCGAGTCGCAGGTAAGATGTCATTACTGTGGTCTGACGTTGTCGACTGGGCTTAGATGCCATAATCATTTTCACAAGTCACCAGCACAATGTGTTGTGGCCAATATATAATTTTACTGTAATGCCATTATCTATGGAGGTTTAGACAAAAGCATTAAAGCAATCAGACACCAGAAGTTGGTCCTGCAATAATGTAATCTTTGCCCCAGTTAGTTGTCCCTTTTTGAAGAGTTTTGATAAAACTTAATTACCAATGTCATCAAAGATAGAGAAATCACCATTAGCTCATCATGCAGAAGTTCAAGAACATTATCTTCCTTACATAATTAAAGTACAAGGTGCAGTACAGTTGGTTCTGTCACTAGAAAAAGCAATGTCCTTTGTCGCTCTAAATTGAGTGATAGCAAAATTAGTCTCCAGGAAATAGCTGTGGAGTTTGCATATGGTGGTTAACTCTAAAATACTGATCCAACATATAAATAGCCTTTTCATTTATTTAGAAATGTACATAGAGTTAGAAAGCCCGATATAACCCACAGTCTGACTTACTATACCCTTTTACAATGAAATGCCAAAAGTGTGATTTGGCAGTTTTAAAAAAAAAACAACTTTTTTTTATTAGATAATGTCTTATTAGATGTGATTGATTTTACAAAGGGTTGAATACTACTACTACTACTACTACTACTAGATACTGAGATCTGCAACTCTCCTGTACCTTTATTATCCTAAGAACATGTCAGAGACAAGATGTTAATGTTAGTCAAGATGCTGATGAAAATCTTTGTTGGTGTTTCCCTACTGATCCCCAATTTATTATATACATTACAGTAGTGCAGCTGTCATGCCATTTTAAGTTCTTCATATGTACACCTAAAAGTGCCACGCTATCTGTACTTTTGATTAAGATGTCTTCACACAAAAGCTTGATACTGTGCACAAAGAAACAAGGACATTATTAAAACATGCAATTACTGCTTGGATTTATTTTCCAGTTATGGAGATGTTGGACAACATTGGTGTAAATAAACAGATCTGCTTAAAGACTTTATAACTCATATTTTAAATATTTTGATTATACAACCTTAACATGTACATAAAACTTCATCTTACAATATCTAAGTGTTTGATTTTAAACTTACTCAAATTCATATATACAGAATAAGAACATGCATCTACTGTAGGTACACTGACACAGATTTTACTGCACTAAAATAACTAAAACATTTCCTAGCTCAATAAATATGAAAAACAATCCCACTGAGAGACAAACATTCTGGCACTGAATTAACTGTTTGCTTTGTTCCCATGGACTTACATAATGTACATGTAACAGTGAAAGAACATTTCAGTTATGGGACATGTAATTACAGCATGAACCACAATAATTACAATGTACATTAGTATTGTATTTTACAATCAAGATTACAGGTAGACTTCCACTATACAAATTACTGAATAATGTAGATTGATTTCACTCAGCATATACAGCTATGAATAACTTAAGCATAAAAAATATTTTATTAATAGAATTAGTTTAGACTGATTAAACGTTTTGGTTAAAAAGGCAACGTGTGCAACATACACTGAATAAACAGCAGCAGCCAAACAAAAACCTTTTTATAATATGTTCCACATAAAAACAAAACACCATTCGACAGTGATAGTGTGTTTTCCAGAGATTGCGCAATACATTCAGACTATAACATTCATAACAGGGCAAACCATTGTTATTCCAGACATTCGTAACATGTTTGCCAACCACGAGCTGTGTAGCTCATTTGTTCAAAGTGCTTTCTTCCTCATTGTACAAATTTCTTCTAATGCAAAATCACATTATCCAATAACATGCATGTGTGTGTCTCATTTACACTTCTCATTAAGAATCCCCTTTACTGACAAGAGTAATAGGCTGTTTTGTTCCAGGCCGAACTGTAAAGGTCATACCATACTGATGTTTTGACGGCAGTCCATTGCTGAAAAGAAGAGCACATTCAATTCAATTCAATTTTATTATGAGTGGACACAGTACCTAAACACTGGGCCTATTGCCTCAAAAGTGAAGGTGTCATATTTGAGCACTAAAAGTCTTACCTGCTAGGAACTTTGATTGGGGAGGTCTCCTGATATTTTTTGACCACTTTCTTCTCCAGCTCTTGCATGTCCAGAGCTGCTGCTTTGTTGACCACAGGGTAATTCTTGCTCTGTGGTGTGGCCCTGGGGACAACAGGGACCTTATTGTCCTCATCAGACAATGGGGTGCCCCAGTCATCAGTACTGGATTCTGCCTCCTTCACTGGGGCCATTTTGTGGTCCATTTCCAACATCTTCTTTTGTAAGATGCTCAAGAGTGTGGCCTGACTGGGTGAAAGAGTGGATGGTAACTGTGGTGGGGCCACCTTGGGTTTTGTCTGGACTTGCAGCTTTGGTTTGACATCAAGGTCAGGAGGAGGGAGTTTTGGAGCTGCTGGGGGTTTAGGTTTCGGAGGCGGAGATGGAACTTGAGCTGGAGGGAGAAAGCTCACAGTTGGTGTCGGTGCCTTTTTCATGGGAGGGTCGGGTGGGGGGATAGAAGGAGGGGGCTCCATAATGTCGCCTAAATCATCAAACTCTGGCGGCGGAGGGAGTAATGGCATACTTAATTCCTCTTTATTATCCTCATGCTGGGTGGATTGAGACATTGACGGACTTCGTTCTGCACTTTGTTTCTGCTCAACCAGATTGGTCGGACTCGAGGACACAGCCATGCTACCTAGAGCTGAACTGGTAAATGGCATCTGATTCTTGACCAGCGCAGGACTGCTGGATTTCTGTGGAGTCTGAATTGTCTGTGTATCTTCCACAGGACTGGCAGACTTTGGACTCTCCTGTATTGTGTCTTGAGATGTTAGAGAAGAGGATGAGCTGGACCTTGGGGTGACAATAAAGGAATTGGGACTTGAGTCACTCGGTTGAATGGATGCACTAGGCTGCTCATTCTTCTTGTCACTGTTTTCCCGCGACAGAGGTTGAGTTGATCTGTGCTTCTCTCTTTGTTTAGCCGCCATTAAAAGAGCCAGTGGAGAAGCTACAGGTCCCTCTCGTGCTCCGTTGGTTTCACTACCCTTCAGGTTGCGTAGTTTACGACCTAATAACGGACTGAATTTGCGACTATGAATTGGAGATCCTTCAAGTTTGTCCTTGCTGGGCTCTAAATTCACCAAAGTCTTGTTCACTTTCAGAAGCTGTGGTGACGTCTGATGTGGAGTCTGGACAGGTTTGTGTATCTCTGGTGGTGTTGAAACTGTCCCTGTTTTAGCCTCCTTGCTTGTATCAGGCAGGTGTGATTGAGAGGGTTGGGTAATTTGTAAGTTCTCCTTCAGCTCCTGTACATCTTTGGGGACTGGTTTAGGTGGTGTAGGCACTTTAGGGGCTTTCCCATCGACCTGGACATGCACTGGGGCTGATTTGACAGAACCAGAATCTTCCAGGACTAACATCTGCTTGGGTCTTGTGTCGCGATCATCATATCCGCTCAGAATTGAGGTTTTAGGATTATTGTAAAGCTTTGCTGTATTTTGGGGATTGAAGGTGGATAGTGTGGGTGTCTGCACAGGTGGAGGTGGGGCAGGAGTCTGTGGTGGGGAGTCATTTGTGGAGATAGAGGACAGTCTAATAGGTTTGGGGGGTGGTGTCTTATAAGTCTTGTGTTGCCTTTCAGAAGGTGGTTGTGGTGGGGCAAATTTTGGACGGTCAGGAACTGGGGCAGGTGGTGGACTAGAAATGGGTACGGATGATGCAGAGCCATTAGAGCTAGTAGATGGAGGCTTTGGTGGAGCCATTGGTGGCGGTTTTAAGAAGGTTAAGTCTTCCTCCGGCATAAACGGTGCCAGTGAAGTGGGTTTTGGAGCGGGCATGGAAGGAGGCTGAAGGGTTGTCAGGTCTAGACTGTTCAGGTCACCCATGAAGTCTGGAGGAGGGATAATCCCTGGTGGAGGTGGAGGTGCCATAGAGGGAGGAGGTGGAACAAATATTTCCCCCTCCACAAGGTCAGGCACAGATATAACAGATCCATTGGACAAACGATCTCCACTGACTATGGAAAAAAAAGAAGAGCGAGAATAAGTGAGAAAAGTTAAGTGCTGTTGTACACTGTGGAGCAGGAGTACTAACAATATTTAACGTGTTGCTGTCCCATGTGTCAAGCATTTACATAAATTAGAAATATTCAGAAGCAAGTGAGAAATGTTAAGCATGTCAATAAGTTAGTAAAAATACAATCAAATTCCTAGATTTATTGTGGACATATATTTACTAAACAGCAGAAATAACTAC